GAGGGCGGTAGGTGGTAAAGAGGGGGGGAGGGTAAACGAGTGGAGTTGGAGATGAGAGTACGTGGGGGCGTGTGCGAAGTTGTAGCGTACAAGTGCGGGTGGGGGATACGTGGGCGGGGGCGCCAGCGTGCCGGTCCGATCGCGCCATCCCAAATCCGCCTAAGTCTACCTACAGTAGATACAGTGCGCCTGCTGTGCCCTCAACGCCCTCAACCGCAACGGTACACTGCGCGAAAAGGCGACAGTCTTCTGTAAGCACTGTAACCACCCCACCTCACCTCTTTACAGTGTCTGCTTTACATCTGTCAACACTTAATACAGTACTGTATACAGGTACTGTATATCAAGTGAGAGTATCGAAAACATTGAAACAAAATAAAATGATTTTGATGATTTCATCCTTTCAAAAGCATTTTTACAGTACGAGTTGGTTTTCGGTAGAATCAAGTTGATCCGTACTGTATGTAGAAAGGTGTTGAAAACAAAACGTGGGCTTACAGTAAGCATTTTTCTACAACCTTCTACAACCTTCTACAGGCTAATAATTTCACCCCACTACACAGCATCTACGTGCACAATATTTTCTGTGAAAAACGGTTGTTCGGATACACACTGCATACTGTACTACAGTAGTAAACTTGTACGGTATCCATCGCGTTCCCTCGACGTCCATCGTTCCCTCGACGTCCATCGTTCCCTCGATATGCCGTCATCTCTAAACTTAGCACCACACCACAAAGTTTTGTGGTGTGCTCTAAACTTAGCACCACACCACAAAACTTTGTGGTGTGGTGTATGTAGCGTTTTTGCCACAAACGCTACATACGCCGTTTCATCATACTGCAAGTTGATAAATCGTAAATTTACTGCTACAGTCAGTGTACTAATCATCCGACGTACAGCACTGTAGGTCTTGATACTGTACTGTACACAGTACGGTGTCCTGTACCCTTAGGCTACCCTTAGGGTAGGGTACCCTTAGGGTACGCAAGGGTACTCAGAATACAGTAGTATTCTGCTGCCAATTAGCCTAAACATCCTTTGCGGAACGGCGGAACGACTCAAAACCGCGTACTGTACCCTACAGTACACCATTTCAACTTGATTTTCAACAAACCACATCTTTTCCACACCTTTTTACATAGTCAACTTAAAACTTCACTTCTCGTCTCTTCGTGCTTCTTAATGTCTCCTCAATTTTCGCATTACCAACTACCCGTTACTGTACTGTTACCCTGTCCCACATTTGTCCTGTCCCACTTTCATTGCACCCATCACTTCTCACGGAAGCGAGGCACTTCTCACGGAAGCGAGGCAAACGTAAGTGCACCATTACATTTTTCCGGTCTCTGCTGATGGATACAATACGGCAGAAACATGTTTTTGATTGTCTTTGCATTCTAAATACAGTACAGTATAGGTAGTGTCTCGACCCGACCCGTGCCTCTCCTCACAACAGCGCATTACAACAGCGCTCCCTTTTTAAACTGTACTGTACAACCCAAAATTAACCCAAAATTTTCTCATTTTGTCAACACAATTTGCTTCCACATATTTTATCACAGACCCATGTCCACAGTTACAGCACACGATCCCCTTTCCCTTCTGTTCCTCAACTTTTAAACCCCTACGTTTCCTTTATGACGTACAAGTACAACTAAAACCCACAACCGAATCACAGCTATTCACCTCGTACTACTATACCTACGTCCATATTTATCAACGGAATATGGGTTGAACCTTGATATTCACTCCTCCCAACTCTCCCCAATTTCTCTCAAACTCTCGTCCTCCTGAATCAAGCTACTTTCTCTGTATCTCTGCCCTCATCTGATAGACTTGACCAAGAAAAAAGAATACCGTCAATTCCCGCATGCGATGCTTCAAGTATGCTATGAATGACCAGCAGCTAAATTAGCATTTCAGATTATCAGATTATAAGACCATTGCAAATCGTTTCTACCGTACGCTCTAAGGCGTGACGCCGTTCCCATTCCACCTTTTTCATTGTATTACTTTGTCGTGCAGTAGTGGGGCCTACTATGAGCCAATTCGAGGAAGAGAAAACAGCCAATGAGGCGTGTCACTGGGTAGCTCGGGACGATGTGAAAGGAAAGGAAAGATGCGTCGGCCGATTGTAAAACCGCAAAGTTGTTTCCTAGATGCGAACCCGGAATGGGAACAACACCTGAGGTACAATAGAGAATAAATGCCATCTTGTTTCGCCAACATTATTCGCTCTGCAGAACGAGCTGAATCAAGAATGGTTCAAAATATACAAGTACAGTAGTCTCGTAAATCTTCAGGTTGAAGAGTTGAAACGATGATGTCGTTTGTCACCTAGAAACTAGATGATGCACAGTGGCGTGGTAGCGAGGGGGAAGCGAGGCTTGCTCAATGCGCGATCCCATCACGGTGCATATAGAGCACGTGCACCATTTGCTAGGTCGGATACGGCGTTCCCGGATCGAGCACGTACCCGATCCTGCATCTACAGTATCATCTCTCGATAGATTGGCACCGTCCCCTGCATGACATTGAATGTGTTGGGAATATGAGAAATCAATGACGTCTGCAGTCTTGAGTTGGACCTTGAATCTGCCTACTCAGTTTCATAAATCTCGGAGAAAGCAGTTTCTAAACGTAAGAGCTAGAATTTCCTTCAGCTGAAGTCAGCTCAACTGCTGAGGACGTGCAGTTCTTGGTGGGATGAGGTCTGCCGTATCGCAACACCTAGTTTCGGCGGCGGGGCTAGCTTTCTCATTCTAATCGAGCACACAAAAGCCCAGAAAACGGACTAGTCACTTTGAAAAGTGAGAGATGACGCTTCCTGAAAAATTGGTGTCACTTGGCGCCCGCTATTGTGTGTAGGTACAGTAATAACCTACAGCAGTACACAGTCCACCTCTGAAAGAGCGATGCGCCATTACTAGGAGGGGGTGTAAGCCGAGTGCAGTGGAGAAAGTGCCAAGCGAAGGTGAAGGTTGAGGAGGGCGGGGGAGTCCCGACGGCCGACGGGGCTTGCGTAAGAGTGTCTCGGGCTCGGAAGGGTCCGCTGGCCCCTTACGCAAGCGAGGAGGAGAAGGAGGGAAGCTGCCGAGGTGTGGTACAGTAGGCGGGCGGTCGAGGATGTGAATCTACGTGACAATGCTCGGCGTCGTCGACCATGCCCTGCATTACCATGCCCCCACATAGCACC